TCCCATAGTCCAGCACTACATTTAAAGATAAAAATATGTCCAGATTTCTTCAATTTTATCTGCAATGGCTATCAAACTTGACATTTACATTTCAAACCAAACAACCTGCTGAAAATATACATCATTTATGCTTTTACCAGAAGAACTCAATACCTTAATTTTGTAAAGACAGGGAAGGACATGGAAGCAGAAAGCCTAATTCATTAGAAAAAAAAGGACTTTTGGCAGATCTCCAATAAGACCACAGCATAAAAACCAGTTCACTTGCATTCTTCTTTGCTAACAAACTTTTTTTCCTCATGATTAACTGCAATAGTCTTTTCAGAACATCAAAATGTATGAGCAGGTTTAAATGATTACCCACTGTCAGAATCAGCACTTATCTATTCAAATTGTTTAATTTGGAGGAAGAGTGAAAAAATATGCAACAGTGGACAAAGCAATATTTTATCAAAATAAAAGCATTGTTAGCAGATGCAAAGTACCTGCTGCAACTCCAAAATCAAATTCACCATTAAATGAAACTTTGCTTTTCAAACTGAGAAGCAGCATCTTGATGCATTTAATAGACCTGGCAATGAAGCATTGTCTATATTGACAGCATCCTTTTAACATAGTTATGAATTCCTGAGACAGGAGTTCACAGCATAAACTTCTGATTCTCAGGAGATTTTTTTGGTTTTCAACAGAAATATAAAAAGTAACACCAGCAATCAATTACAACACTAAAAGCAGCAATAGGTAAAGACTGAGGATTCATGAAGAAGCTATAATCTTCTGCTATACACACTACAAGCAACTCAAACAATATTTTAATTATTTTTTTTTCTTCTTTACAACCTACTGATATATAAGGCTTGTAGATAATAATGATAAACACGCAGAATTTGGAAGAAAAGAATCAACAGTGCTGTTAATGTTAGATTTTTTTTTTGAAAAAAATCAAAAAATAATATTAACGAGCGCATATTCAGAAGTTTATCTTTGGTTCTACGTTGAAAAAAATCAAAAAATAATATTAACGAGCACCTATTCAGAAGTTTATCTTTGGTTCTACATTGAAAAGGAAAAAATAGTTTTGTCAATAACACCACCTTGAAATGTAAAGATGTTTTGTGTCTTTTACTCCATTAATATATACAAATACTAACACCACCTTGAAATGTAAAGATGTTTTGTGCCTTTTACTCCATTAATATACACAAATACGGATAAATAGCACAACAATACTTGGTACAGTCATTTTTAATGCTCAACTCATTCTTCAATAACTTTAAATGGCGCTTTCCTT